TGGCAAAGATAAAGAAGTGGTTTCTTTCAGTACTGTCATATTGGGTAAGGATGCCGTGGCTGTGCACTCTTGGCTATAAAACATGATTAAATTATATGTGCTACCATTCAGACATATCTTATTCAACCTTGGTGGATCTTTGTTTCAAACAGGCATAGTGATTTTGCTAACCTCTAGCTGGACTTCAGCTCTGATAAGCTCTGGGGAATATTGTGTTATATTAAATAGGTTCTCCCTTAGCTTTTAAAACTCTTTAATACTGGCAATATCTAGAAGAATATTTTAGAGCTGTGATGGCAAAACTATGGCACGCATGTCACAGGTGGCATGCGGAGCCATATTTGGTGGCACACCTGCCATCAGCTCCTCTGCAGACTCCGGCGTCTTTCCTGAAGCCTGGGAGGGCAAAAAACGGCCCCAACGGGGCCAACCAGAAGTTCAGAAATGATCCGTTTCTGATCAGAGGAAGCTGTTTTTGCGCTCCTCATGCTTCAGGAAAGCCTACGGAGCCTGGGCAGGGGTCATGTGTGCATATGCAGGTGGGCGGGGAGATTGAGTGGACACGCCATAAGAAAAAGGTTTGCCATTACTGTTTTAGAGTATTAACCAGTTTAATTTTAATCTTGTATAACTTTGCGCAGCTTGGAGTAGTGATTAAGGCACCAGGCTAGAAACTGGGAGATCATGAATTCAGTCCCACCTTAGGCATAAAAGCCGGCTGGGTGAATTTGGGCTGGTCACTTTCTCTCAGTCCAAGCTACATCACAGAGCTGTTGTGGGGAAAATAGGAGGAAAAAAGAACATTAGATATTATTTAGTACTAGTATTATTTATATAAGAAAAATGAAAGGCATGATAAAAATAAAAAATAAACAGAATAAAATACAATAATAAAATAAAATAGATATGTTGCTAGCAATTCACAGAGTTTTATGTTTTGAAATATTGCATACATGTAAACCACCTTGAGTTAGAATAATCAAAAGATAGGAGAGGTATAAGAATTGTATACCCATATAAATCATATATCTTGAAATATATACAATCCAGTCCTTGTCACAATACCTTCATACAGTCATAGAATCAGCAATCTGCTAGAAATGCAAAATTTTAAAATTGCAACATTTCCTTCCATGGAGCTATAGTGGAAAGTCTTGCCAGGAACAGAGTCACAGTTTATGAGCAAGTCCAAAGTAATAGGTATAATAGTTAGGTAGACTTCTTGATGGTACAATGATAGTAATTGCCTGAAAAGGAAGAAAAGTACAGTATTTTATTCAGTTCAGAGGTTCTTTGACACATATCAATTACCTTCACCATCAAGCCATATATAGAGATTTGAAATATTGAGCAATATTAAATAAAAGAACAAATGTCAAAAGGTGTTATTCTTCAGCTAAATACATATAAAAATACAGAAATACTGTTCTATATATCTGTGAGAACTAGAAAATGGTTATAATTTTATCAATTAATTTAAAAGTCTTTCCTTACATTATCATTTTTTATTATTAATATAAAAATCGTGATAATTATTGTGTGTCACTCTGAGCAAAAATTGTGGTATTCTTTACCTTCTACTTTTCCTTCTATACTAATGATTGTGTGTTTATAGAGACATGCAGTTATACATTCCTAAAATATTTTTTTCAGTATAAATATTTCATTTATTATTATTATTGTTGTTATTGTTATTGTTATTG